TGCTAAATTTAAAATCTTTGACTCACATTTTCTTTCCTTGAGTGTATTAAATGTTACTTTATTATTTTCTGACATAGAATTGTTAGTCAAAAACTAACAACTATCCAATTTTTTCCCCATAGTTGACTTCATTCAATTCTTTCAAAAGAATATGGTTAATGTTTTTTATTCTGTTTCTTACTTTTGAGATAAAATCTTTTAATATGTATTTTTTAGGCATTTCTTATTTAAAATTTTTTGAAATCATTTGTTGTTCTGTGCTTTAATTTTTTCCTTCAGTGCCTTCTATATACATATGATTTATCTTTGCATAAAATTTTCTTCAAATCTTTTTCATTTCTTTAAAAATTAGTTATCATTAATTAATTTAGACATTTCCCTTATTCTATCTTTTCATTTATACTAATTCATTAACTTTTGTGTTTATGGTTTTTATTTTTCTCAACTTTTATCTTCCTTTCTGGAGTGATTTTTAAAAATTACTATTTCCAATCATTTTCTGAGTTGTTTCATCTATTATTGTGGTTTAGGTCTGGAATGTCCGACAAAGACACTTGTTTTGAAGGATTGGTTCCCCAGTGCAATGCTCCAAGATGGGACTTTAGGAAAGTAATGGGTAATGAGAGCTCAGATCTCATCAAAGGGTTAATCCGTTGATAGTTTCATAACTCAATGGACTATTAGGAGGTAGTGGAATCTAGAGGAGGTGGGCCTAGTTGGAAGAAGTAGATCACTGAAGGTGTACCATGGAAGGATATATCTAGTCCCTGGCCTCTTCCTTGCTTATTTTCTCTGGTCCTGGCTTCTATGAGATGAGTGACTTTGCTCCACCACACCTTCCCTGCCATGAAGTTCTGCCTCCTCACAAGTCGACAAAGATGGGGTGAAGGGACTATGAACTGAAACAGTGATCCAAAATAACTCTTCCCTCCTCTATGTTGTTTTTCTCAGTTATTTTGTCACAGCAATGGAAAGCTGACTAACACGGCCATCTGTTGCAAATATTCTTTTTCCAGTGGACTCACTGATTGACCTTTCCAAAGATTTTGCATAGCACATATCAGTTTTTAAATTTTAGTTCATTTTGAATGACAAGGCTATAACTTTATTTTGTGATCTTGTCTGCTAATATGTTCTCATTGTTTTCTGAATGTTATTTTGTTCTCTACCTTTTTTTTTTTTATTTCTTATAGGAGATCCATTGATGGATTGACTGTGGCACTCTACCACTGAGCTACTTTACCTGCCATTTTTATTTTGGGATAAGGTCTACCTAAATTACCAGGCCATCTACAAATTTGCAATCCTCCTGGCTCAGCCTCCCAAGTAACTGGGATTACACTTAGGATTATCACTGTTTCTGGTATCTTACAGTAGCTTTATAGATGATTCTACTTCATTCCTTTCTATTGTTCATGTTTAAGTTAAGTGCATTTTCACTATTATCATGGAAATGTAGGCCAAGCTAGCTTTTCTAGGATCTTCTGTGTGTTTAGAGCCTCCTTTTCTGATATTTTCAAGACAAATACTATGCCACTGGACTTTCTGACTGTACTTCCTTTGCTTATACTCCTCACACTTTAATCTAAATGGCCCCTTTGATCTCTTCTATTGGATCTGATCCATTTAATTTTTGTTAAACTTTATTTTTTAGTTGTAGGTGAACACAATATCTTTATTTTACTTTTATGTGGTGCTGAGGATTGAACTCAGTGCCTCACACATGCTAGGCAAGTGCTCTTCCTCTAAGCCCACAACCCCAGCCCTGATGGATTTAAGTTTGATTCAACTCCTAAGGATGTCTTGTCAGCACAAGTTGCATCCTGAGAAGCCTCATTTGCTCCATCACTGGGAACCCTTTTCCTGTTTCCCTTGAAGACACTGATAATGGGGAGCCTCCAAATTCCCTTCTCCTTTTCTACTATGATTTTCACATCAGTCTGACTCTCTTTCCAGGGATTATCTGTTACTTGGAGATTGGGGACATGGTTATCTAGTTCCAAAGTCCTTCAGAGGCATAGTTGATTTTCCTGTTTCTTTCTGCAAAGTTGCTAGTACCATTCTGGTCTAGTGCTTTGTCCCCACCCATTAAAGGGGGATATGTTGTTATTTAGTTTCTTGTAGATATTTTCTGTGTGACTTAAGTTTACTTTTTCTGTTTTTAGGGGGGTTTTCAATTATATATAAAAGGTTATGCTGTGTGTATTGTCCAATTTTCAGAATCCAAAGTTCAAAAATGTAATACTTAGTTATTTGAAAAATTTAAATTAAAAATAATTAAAATATTGAGTATGTCTCATGGACTTCACAGTGTCTAGATTGGTTCCTGTTTAAAATAAGTTTAGGCAAAACAATTACAATAATTTCAAGGATAAAATTTAACAGTAATAATGGTGGTATGAAATATGTCAAAAATAGCGATGTCATAGATAAATTCTTTGAACAATAAGGGAGAGGGGTCTTTTTTTAAAATTATGGAATTAGAGTCCATGGGTTTTGCATCTTTATATTCAACCAACCACTGGTCAAAAAGTATTCAGAAAAAAAAATTGCATCCATATTATGTATAGATATCTTTCCTCTTGTCATTATTCTCTAAAAGTATCCTATACCAACTATTTACACATTATTTATGTTGTATTAGGTACTGTAAGTAATCTAGAGATGATTTAAATTGTATGGTAGGATGCACATAGGTTATTTGCAAAAAAAAAAAAAAAACCCACACATTTTATATAAGGGACTTGAGCATCCATAAGTTTTGGTGTCCCCTGGGAACTCCAAAACTGAATCCAATCCCCATTAGATGTCAAGGAATTATTACATTTAGAATTAGCTATGGAGAATAGAGTACTGATCCTATCTCTTGAACTTCAGGAATTAAAAAAAAAACTGTTTTAGAATACTGTAGGGAAGATATGCATAATTATCACAAAGACCTAGTTTCAATTAACAGAGGAAAGAAATATTGGTAAAGAGAATAGCTGGCTTGGTGAAAGATTGAAATATAACAAAGATCTAAAGGCTAGATATAATATTCTTTTTTTAGGACATAGATTTTTTTATTTGTTCTAATTAGTTACACTAATTAGAATTCCTTTTTGACACATCATACATAAACAGAGTAACTTCTCATTCTTCTGGTTGTACATGATGTAGAATCACGCTAGTCATATAATCATGTATGCACAAAAGGTATCAATGTCTGATTCATTCTACTATCCTTCCTACCCCCACATCCCCTCCCTTCTCTTCACTCCCCTCTGCCTAATACAAAATACCTCTATTTTCCCTAGTCTTCCACCTTATTCTGAATTTGTATCTGCATATCAGATAGAACATTCAGCCTTTGGGTTTTGGGGATTGGCTTATTTTGCTTAGCATGATATTCTCCAGCACCATCCATTTACAAGCAGATGTCATGATTTCATTCTTCTTTAAGGATGAGTAATATTTCATTGTGTACATATACCACATTTTCTTTATCCGTTTCATCCGTTGAGGGACACCTAGGTTGGTTCCATAGCTTGGCTATTAAGAATTAAGCTGCTATAAACATTGATGTGGCTGCTTCACTATAGTATGCTGATTTTAAGTCCTTAGGGTATAAATCAAGGAGTGGGATATCTGAGTCAAATGCAGATTCCATTTCAAGTTTTCTGAGGACTCTCCATACTGCTTTTCATAATGGTTGCACCAATTAGCAGTTCTACCAGCAATGTATGAATGTACATTTTTCCCACATCCTTGCCAACATTTGTTGTTACTTGTATTCTTGATAATTGCCATTCTGACTAGAATGAGATGAACTTCCAAGAATTATGGAATAATTCTTGGAAGTTTTATATGGAATAATATAACGTTATAATATAATGTTCTTAAATTGAGAAATATTCACTTTTTAAATATACACTTGGTGAACTTGAGTATGCTCATACTCATTTACCTACCAATTATACTTCTAAAAATTTATATTAGGCAGCTAAATCATCAAATAAGGCTTATATAGATATAAAAGTGTAAGACTTTTAGGTTATTAGGATAATAATTTATTCTCATTTGTAAATTATTCTTTGATGTGATTCTGTCTTAATCATAAGGGTACATGCTTGTGTATAAAACTTTCCTGAAAGGAGAGACTATAGAATAAATATGTGTCTCATAATACCTTCTAAAATGAAAATAATTCATGACAAATCCTCTCAGAGTTTTCTTATATACTTTTCTGTATCATCAGATTGTTGAAGGAATATTTATAGACTCTAAAAAGATAGTTGGATATAAAGATAGTAAAAATATCAGTGGTTTCCAGGGATTAGGGAACAGAGAAGGATGAATAGGCAGAGCACAAAGGATTCTTAAGATAGTGAAACCACCCTGTATGATACTAAAATGGAAGATAACATGTCATTATATATTTGTTAAAATCCATAGAATATACAACACCAAGAGTGAACCCTAATGTAAACTCTGGACTTTGAGTGATAACGATGTATCCTTGTACGTTCATTAATAACATATGTACCACTGTGGTGGTACATGTACATGTACATGGGAACTCTCTGTACTTTCTGCTCAAGTTTGCTCTGAACCTGAAACTGCTCTAAAAATAATGTCTATTAACATTTTCAAAAACAAATTACAATATGAATTTGAAGCTAGGTTATAAAGTTTTTATATTCTATCTAATTAAGGAAATGTAACCTGAAGACTAATGCACCAATTTGGGGCTAAGGCAGAAGAGCACATCAAATTAGGAGTTTCTCAGTGAAACTACCCTAACAGAATCCATAGTAATTTGGGGCAGATAAGCAACTCTGTGCTTCTCATTCCTCAGTCTTACCACTTTATGCAGTGAAGACTACGATGGCTGCCTCTTCACTGCACAGGTGTACCCAGAGGTAGATGAATCTCAATGCTAAGACTGTTTTTGTGTCGTCAATAAAAAGCACTTTATATGCCAAAGATCCACGTGTTTTCCACCTTGTGTTTTGTTGCAGTTACACAGAAAGAATGGAGCAGCAATCACACAATAGAAATAGAGATAAATCAGACTCTGGAAATACCATGCTTTCAAAATAACTCCTCGGAAATTTCGCCTGAGTTCACCTTTACCTGGTTGGTGGTAAGTGTTGCCCTTTTCAGTGAATAACTACAGTGATGTTTAAATATTAATGAAGTAAAATGAATAGCAAGTAATAATAGAGAAATACTGGATGAAAGACATTCATTATGCCAGCGGTTGGGGAGGGCTGGCAAAGGGAGGGAAGGACGCTAAGACTTCCTCTAACTAGGCGAGCGCCCAGTCTATGAATGCAGCGGATTTAGAAATTTACTTCTAAATGTTAATTTCTATTTTAAACCATATACCAGACCATGGTTACAGAGAGAACAGAGTTGTTATGGAGAGGAGCCACAACCAGCAGGAGCTGCTCTCACAAATATTTATTTTACAAATAACATATGTAGAGATATAGACTCCCTTTCCCCAGAACCTGTAGTACCATGTCCTGGAAAATACACAGCATTGCTTCAGATCAGGAACACAAAATCTAACACTTATAAAATGTAAGTAGAATGTGTACCTGAGAGAAACAGGCCACGTGTCCAAAATTGTTAGTGGTCAGCTCTATAAATGTCACAGGGTCCTACAAGTCTTCTAATTACCAAGTCTTCTAATTTAAAACAAAAAATATTTATTTTTATGAGTACTTTTCCAATTAAAAAAAATAGTGTGTAGACTGGCAAAACTGGAAGATGAGTGAACAGTTAACTTATTTTTACTCTTTCACCCCTTTTTTCTATATATTTTTTTGGGGAAGAGATACTCAATGATTTAGTGACCTTGTACTCTCTCATTCCACTCCCTGAATAATTTAATAATATTGTATGTATCAAATAAAAATTATTTAATAAATTGCTTCACACTAAAAAAAAATGTGTGTAGAGTAAAAATAAGTACCAGTCTGTGATTTTGATGAAGCCATTTACTAGAATATCCTAAAACATAAACTGATATTTTAAAAAATTATTTTGAAATCATCAATTAAAAATTTTACCAAGTTATCATATTGGTAGTCATGGTTAGTTATTTGTTAGGGTGCTTATTATATCCTGTGTGATGTCTAAATTCTCCCACTATTTTTCTCTACTTGAAATATTATAAAATTCCTGTATACAGATATTTATCCTTAAAGATCCATAATTCAATTGGTCCTGACCCTTCCCATGAATGTGCTGTTTATACATTTTGTCTGCTTTTGTTATTTTATCACTAGTTTGCAATATTATTCTGCAACACCATGACATTTTGTTTTAAAAATTACAATGCAATTTTGAAACTAAAATTCTAGTTTCAAATGGAAATTATCATAGTTTTATCTCAAAATAAGTAAACAAAATCAGCATGATGATAGTAATAAATATGAAATAATCAGCCATTCTAACTTTAAGCTAACCAAATTAATACAACCAATACTTGGTTAGTAGCCAGTTATTAACCAATATGCAACTGCTAATCAAATAACAAGGAAAAAACACACTTATAAAGATGACATAAACCATGATATCAAGACTCATATAATGCTGGATAAGGTGGCACACACCTATCTATGATCCCTGAAGCTCAGAAGGCTGAGGCAACAGGAAGGTGAGTTAAAAGCCAGCCTCAGCAACTTAGTGAGGCTGTAAGCAATCTAGTGAGATCCTGCCTCAAAAAATAAAAAAGGGGTGGCGATGTGGTTTAGTGGTTAAGCACCCTTGGATTCAATCTCTGATACCAAAAAAAACAAAAAGGAAGAAAAGAAAAGAATCATATAATGAGATATTCATTTAGATGATACAGAATGATAAGCTTTATTAAAGTTTACTGACTTAACATTAATTTTTTAGATCATCATCAAAATGAAAACATAATTTAAAAATTCTATAAAACACATAGGTTCCCATGACAGTAGAAGCTGGCACAGTTTTTGAAAAATACTATGATTCACATGGTTGATTATTCACAGTACAAGTTACCTACATTTTTGTGAACTTCCTTGGAAACAAGGCCCTCTGTATAAAAAGATTTCTCTAAAGACCTACTAAATCCAAATTAATGAACTTGTTCAGCACAAAGATCTCAAAGTACTAACTACCAATAGTTTGCCCTATCCAAATAGTTTGGATAGTCAGTAATCTGACAATAAAAATATATTCTAAAATAATTTTCCCATAAAATCCTAAAATTTATAATACCTTTGTCATCTGTCAAAAACCAAGTTTTCTACTTTACAGGATTTGATTTCCTAAAGGTGAGGCTACCCAGACTTTATGCCTTATCATCAGTAGCAGTGAATTGTTCTTTATAAACATGTCACCATGCAGTTGTTAGGAAAAGATTAAAGGTGGAGATGATCTCATGAGGATAGACACCTGCTACACCGAACATGATAGTAATGGAAATTCATTGTTTGTACCTTGCTTACATTATTAATATTTTCCACCAGTACAGCAAAACATTCCTCACCTAATTATCACAAATTTGCTCTCAATGGGGTCTGTTTAAATTGTACCATAGAGATTTTTGCTGGCCAGTAAGTTGAACTGTAGGGTTCTGGACATATCTCATGGATGTGTAGCCTGTTTTCCTAAAGCAAACACAATGGCTTCTATCAGCCTGTCACTTTCCTGTGACTCAGTTTCTCCAGGGTGAAAGCTGCATGGCTCACTTCAAAAATCCTTGACATCTAGTGCCCAGAGCAAAGGTGCCTAACAAATATACAAGACATAACTATCAGTCCTCTTTCCCTACAGCTGTATTCATTGTCCTCATATTAAATGGATAGAATTCATGCTATTTGGTTCGTTAATCAGTGGCAAGTCATTCAGTATCAAAAACTAGATCATTGATAAGACTATATAGACATTATCTTTGAATCCTGTCAGGACATTTAGAATAAATGAGGGCCAGAGAAAGTGCACAGAACGTCACATAGTGAGTAGGTGAATCCTAAACACGCTGTCGCTTTAAAGACTGCATAGACAACTAGAAGAGGCTTTTTGAAAGAAACTTTTTTTTTTTCAAAGAAAACATTGGGCCGGCTAATGTGCTGATTAAATTCCTACTGTGCATTCCCTTTTTAAATGTCAGAATCTATTTGCTCCTCTGATTGACATCAGTGCCCCAACTGTGGATGATTGTGGGATTTAGCAAGTCTGATATGAAAACACCCAGTGTCCTTATATTAGGGAAAACCTGCAGCTCTTGTGTCATAACTGTTGTATGTCTTCTGAGAGCACAAATAGTCCCTCTAATCCATACTTTAGATCTTTGATCTCTTCCTAAACTAGAAATAATGATCATATTGATAAGCCAATGGTTCTTATAAACAAAAGAATATGGCTTTGAATTAAGGGTCAAAAGTAGAAATGATGAAGATGAGGTCAGGAGGGCAGAAATCTGCTGCTCTGAACACAGTATTGCTCTGGGAAGCTGTCCGCACATGCTTTGTTAAATCCTGGGACAATTCTACAAATTCAAATTATGTAGGTCACTAGAAGAAAAGAGTTGTGTCTTCTTGCACATTGAATTTTATAAAATCTAATTAACTCAATTATGACCCTCATGGGACAAGTTAGTATTCGAATTCTCAACATCATTAAGAAAACCTATTTGCTATATGTACCTGATCCCCTGCTAGGTCTGTGCTAAATGGAGCAACTTCTTTGCATTTTGGAAAGCTAAAATTTCAGGATGGTGACTACACTGAAATAAACAGGCATCATAGTGTATCTAACACTAAACTATCATGGGATGCTTTAGTTACTTGATTAAACCCAAAAGGGTGAGGCTTCAGTGGAAACTGGGGACCTATGTGAATGGTGGGGTGATCTATAAGAAAATATAGAATATGCATGTTTAGATGGGTTGCAGTTGGTAGATATCTTTCCCACTTTCTGTACTGGGCACAAGGGAAATTCTTCAGGCTGATTCTCAGAGTTTCTTAATACACTATAATATTCCATTTTCATTCCAAACTGTCATCCTGATTTCCCACAGTATAAATTTTAATTTAATCCAGTAAACATATGTGAACCTACTTTGAATGTTAGATCCTTCAGGGATAACAAAATTATATTGGACATATTCTCTACCATGACACACACTTTTAATAAAATGTAAAACATATCTGTATCGGGGGAAGAGAGTTTGATTCTGCCTAGAAGAACCTGTGAAATCTTGTTAGAAAAGGTCATGTTTGAGCTGGATAATTAAAGAACAGTTGAGTGGCAAAAGATAGGCATATACTGACCCAAAATCCTGGGACCTGTTACCAACAGGTTGGTGGTACACATGGGGAAGGTGTTGAGGGCATATGTGTACCCAAAGTCAGTGTATTTCTTTGAAATCTTGAAATTTCTTTGAAATCATGAAAAGAAAGACAGGTTGTTTGAAATCCAATGAGTTCAATATTAGCAATAAAGGCACATAACTAAATCCTAGATGCTTACATATATTTATAATTTTAACTGCAAATGCATCTTTTCATCATGTTCCTCTTTAATATTTGTGTTATTTTTAATTAAACAAAAAGCAAAATGAAATTATAGACAATGGTTTCTCATGCTATGGGAAGCTTCGCTATTCAGAAACAAAACAAAACTCATTAGCTGATGGCAGCTGACCCTGTTTGTCTTTGCCACAACCAAAATACAGTGCGGCAGCCAAACTACAAAGTGTTAACAACCAATAAGATGATTAAAAAATATCTTTCTGGTGCTCTGGAAAATAGACGTGGAGAATTTTGCAGGCAGCCTTTTGTCAGCACTGACAGGATGGGCAATAAATGGAGGAAATGTGAAGATAGGAAAGAGATTGGAGATAAAGAAGCAGCAATCAATGGAGTCTTAACAGCAGTTATGGAGTGAGCTCTGAGCACCCAGAGCCTGCCATATGCTGTGGTCAACACAGCTGGCTCCAACAGGGAGCTGGCTCCAGGCAGCTCAGGCCAGCCCCGAGACCAGATAGCATCACCAAATTAAATAGTACCAACATCCACTTCTGGACTAAAAATTCTGATCCTAGAACAAAATTTGAAAAGCCTCAGTGAATGATTTTAGGATTTGTCAGATCTTTAAGAAACATGTAATAGCAGCTTTCCATGACTCAATATGACACTTACCCGTCCTCGTTGTGCTAATTATTTTTTCAAATTCCTGTACATAATTTAGTTATGTGTTGTTTTAGTCAGCTTTTTTGGTGCTGTGACTAAAATACTGTGACAAGAACAATTAGAGGAAATAAAGTTTATTTGGGGTCTCACAGTTTCAGAGGTTTCAATCCATAGATAGCCAGCTCCATTCTTTGGGGCTTTAGGTGAGGCAGAACATCATGGCAGAATGATGTGGAGGAGAAAAGTAGCTGGGGATATGGTGCCAGGAAGCCAAGAGAGAGACTAAGCTCAGCTCATAAATATATACTCCCAAGTAATGCCCCTCAATGATCCATCTCCTCCAGCCACACCCTACCTGCCTATAGTCACCACCTGGTTAATCCCCATTAGGAGATTAATGAACAGATTGGGTTAAGGCTGTTATAACTTAATCATTTCACCTCTAAACCTATCTGTTGTCTCACACATGAGCTTTTGGGGGACCCTTAATGTCTAAACCATAACATGTATTCATTCCCCTTCTTTGGGTCATGATTTTTGTTGTCTGTTTCTTGTGAATTTATTCATCTTCTCACTACAAGCAGAAAAGGCAAAGAATTCGCTCTACACTTTTGTGAGGCCTTATATATCAAAGTCATTAAAAGCATGACTTTTGGAGGGGAATAGTTGTCTTTAAGCCCTGGCTCACCACTTACTCATTGTATAACCTAAGGACTAGATTTAGGCATTCAACTTTGATGCCAAAATTTAAGGGATCACTAAAAGTATATTTTTAAAATAAATAATTAAAATTTTAACCTAGTTAATCAAGATAAATATTTTAATGTAATGTTTTTAAATGAAAAATCAGGGAAAATTCATGCTGAATAAATATCAAAAATTTTTAAAGTCACGCTTATTTGTTTTGAGATCTTGCTGTATGTAGATTGATCAAGGAATAGTATTTTCCCATCTGCCTATGGTATCTGGGTCTTCATGGCCATCATGTCCCCCAATGACAGGTGTATAAGAGTTGACAGTGGTAGGATAACAGATTGAGCAATGCAGGACTTTACGATTGTCTTAATTTTTTTCTTCAATTATAACAGAAAACCCGAGATAGGTTAATTTATAAAGAACCAGAATTTATCCTCTCAGAGTTCTGAAGACTAGGATGTCTAAAAGTGCCATTGGTTAGGAACTGGTCTCTGTTTCCAAGATGGCACCTTGAATGGCTGCATTCTCCTGGAAAGAAGAAAATTGCATCCTCACATGGCAGAAGAGTAGAAGACAGAGAACCTTCTCCCTCAAGCCCTTTTCTTTTTCCTTCTCCCCATCCTGCAGTTTTGGTGGTCAAACCAAAATGCTTTTGCCTGATAGGTAAGCTTTCTACTACTGAACTACACCCGCAGCCCACTGCAAGCCCTTGATGTAGCAACAATAACTCATTTGTGAGGACAGAGACCTCCTTACCTTTCATTAGGAGTCACCTCTTAACACTAGTGCATTGGGGATTAACTTTTGGCATGAGCATTCAAACCATAGCACTGACTCTCCAAAATTCCTCCATATAGCCAGACCTGGGCTGCATGTTCATGAAATCATAATTGATCACAGGTGAAACTAGAGAGCAGTGAGCTTGTATTATTTATGATCTATTAAGTGGCAGGACTAGAATAGGTGTATTCTGTGCATTAACGAGTGAAATCTGTATCACCACCTAAAATGTAAAGATCTGCCAAGGGATAAACCCATAAATTTTTAGAAATATTTATTAATATTTTTTTAAGTGGGAAAAATTTTCCTTGAAGAATGGAAAAAGAAAAGAAAAAAACAGGTAGATGTAAAGACTCCCTACTAGGAGCCCTACCAGCCTGTTTCCTACAGACCAGGTTACCTGAGAACATTATCAGGAAGAGGTTGAGGGATGCTATGTGATGCCTAACACCAAAGGTGATTAAAGAAGCCCTCTTTCAATCAGCAAACCACCCCACTCCTATAATCTACAACTTATATAAAGGAGTCTGGTTTTCTGGAATTTTTTTTAAAAATTTCTCCTTCTAGATAGAAAAGGTTGTTTTTTAAATTATTTTTATGATTTAGATTTTACTAATACATGTTTCTTTGAAGCTTATTTGTCCCTGGTTCTAAGCATCCCTGCTTTGAAATTCTATGACTTAAGTAACCTATGTGTTATTTAATTAAGTTACATAACCTCAATTTATTCCAGGTTATTTAAAAAGTACAAATAAAATTAGGGAAAAGCTTTGCATGGTGCCTAGACACAGTAAGTACTAAATAAATTCAAGCTCTAACTAATGAGAATATAAAATTTTAGCAGTGGTCATAGCATAGTAGTATTATTTCTTTGTTTCCCAGCTTTATGCATTTCATTATTTGCCTCAGTATTTTTTTCCACTCCTCCTCCTATTCACTATGTGAAGGTGGCCACTCACATGCAGGTTCTTGTCATGGTCCCTTTATATCTAAAAATTTTAGAATCTCTCAGGATTTCCTTATGTTGTAGGTTACAGAATGCTCTTTGCAACTGAACTCCATCTTTTCCAGTGAAGGAACAAATTCTTTCTCTGCAACAGTCAGCTTCCCGGTTGGGGGTGGGGAGGGGGGAACAATAGGAAACAAAACCTTTGGATATGTTGGGTTTTATTTACTTTTCATATCTTCTCTATAAATTAAATCACTGGAACATAATAAACACCCTGCTACATAATAAAGGCAAAAATAGTTTCTCTCACCGGTCTTCAACCTCAGCCTGTCACAACCCTTCTTCCTCCAACAGAGTGACAGACAGAAATGTTTCAAATGACAAGTCATATATTAAATAACCAAGAACATTTTAAACTAAAATCCTTACAAAACTGGTCCTATGCATAGATAGGTTGTAAAAACGTGTCTCAAGCTGAAGGCCTGCAGAGGGAGCCGGCTTCCTTAACTATTGGCTCCAGATCAGTCATGCGGAAGGAAATACCTTTGTTCTCCTTTGTTGGCAGGGCTACACTCTTGCTCCCTTTGATCTTCTGGTGGCTTTCTTCATTAGAAAGACAGCAGCACAGTCTTGTAGGACCTTCTTTATGTAGATCCAAAGGTATGCGCATTTGCTTTAGGGGTGGGCTTTAGCAGGGTGTGAGTCTTTGCAGGCAATGCAAGGTTGATAAAAGACCCTAGCCAAATTCAGCTAAAGAACTATCTTATATAAGAGGTTCTACTAGATATATTCTGGACCCACATAAAAACTAAGATGTCTGCCCATTCTTTAATTTACTCGCTCATTTGGCTTACATTATTTCTTCTCTCTCTCTCTCTCTCCCTCCCTCCCTCCCTCGCTCCCTCCCTCCTTTTTTAAAAATCTGAACAGGGCCTCTTTTGCTCAGGTGACCCTCCTGCCTCAGACTTACAAGTAGCTGGAACTACAGGCACAGACCACCACACCCAGTTTCTATATCATTTTTAAACTAGAGGTTCCAAGTCAGAGATCTTTGCAGCATTTCCCCATCAAATGCATTCCTATTGACCTTTCTCCATTTTTCCTCCTTCCATTTCCCCTGTTAACTAGGATTCATGTGTTGTTTAGAGTTAGGCCAGTGGTTCTCAGCCCGAACTCCCCTGAGCATCCTAAAAATATGCCCCAGCCTGAGACCATGCAAATTGAATTAGAATCTCTGGAGAAGGAGCTTGTGCTTCAGAGATTTCAAAGCTGCTTGAGGAGGCTGAATTACACTAATGAGGTCTGAGCACTTAATCCTTCCTCTCTCCTTGTTCCCCTCAAGAGACAGGACAGTTAGTAGGCCCATTTACTGACATTGGCCAAACCTGTGATACCCCTGGAAGCTTGTTCAAAGAAATTCTGTGTAGGGAAACCGTAATGGGAGTTTTTCTTCACAGACCCAAGACAGGATATGGAATAGAGGAATCAAGTACTCCAAAAAGACTCTGACCTCTCCTATCTATATAGCCGCTCTTCCTGTATCCTCTTCAAAGCTAGCACAAGTAGAGAAATAAGGGCAACTGGACTAGGACCATGACTGGGATGAGGAAAATAAGTGAAGAGTGGCTAAAGAATGAATTTAAGGAGGTACCCCTCACTGGTCCTGGTCTCAGGGTCTTGCAAGTGAGTTCCTCCTTAATTCTGTGCCCTGTTTTTTCTCTTTTTCTGGTTCTAGTCCTGGATCTAAGTTAAATGATGCCTTTCCTAAAGGAACTTTGGAAAGAGAGGGTGATTGTAATCACCCAATTCATGTTTGACTTAATAAGCAAAACTGATAAGAGTCATCACAGCACATTTTTGCATTAATATTTCCAAGCTTCATAAATGAGAATTAGAATCTGTTATGAGCTCCCTCTTTTTACCTCCTCAAATCTGTGCAGTTTATGGAAGGTTGTGAAGGGGAAGTTCTCACTAGAAAAGCAGTCTCAATTCATGTTAGGAGAGGGCGACAGTAGTTTCAATTGAAAGTTAAGTGTAATAGTATTTTCTCTTATAACCTATTAAATACCTGACATTTTTAATTCTTCATTTTTTCCTATCTATTTTACAGCAAATAAATTAATTAATTCTTGTGAAACCCCTAATTTGGAGCCAACACAATAACTGGTAATCTTTTTTCTCACCAGGAAGGTAATGGAGCTCAGGAAACTCTCATCCAAGATCACCACATCAGCAGTTCCACGTCTTTTAAAGACAGAGTGAAGCTCTGTGCTGACCACAGACTCTGCCTCTCCCCGGTCCAAATCCATGACGATGGTCAGAAGTTCTCTTGCCAAGTTCGACTCAGGCCTGGCAAAATCTTGAGGAGTTCCACCACAGTCAAGGTTTTTGGTAAGGGTTTGTGCTGTCTGGACTACTCGCTGCCACCCTGCATCACTCTTCCCCTAAATAGGAAGTTCCCTCTTATGTTGGATTGCAGCCATTCCAGGGGTGACCTCTGAAGCTCTGTTTGCCTTGATCTTTACCATTCTTGCTGGGGGTGGGAACAAGGGTAAGAAGGCTAAAAAATAAGTATTCAGTGAATAGAATAAAATACAGAAAACCATATATGGGTCAGTTTTCTGCTGATTAATACCTGATTTAACATCTTAATGTTTCCTAAGGATACTGGACATCTCCAATTGCTTAGTTGTCTAATTATCCCAGTTGCTTGCTGCAGATAAGGCCACCATGAGAAAAAGAAGGTACTAAACAAAGCTCTGGACAAACTCAGCAGGAGCATTCCCCACCCCATCCTGCCAGGGTCAGTGCTTCCAGTAAATGATCCTTCAGGCTTAGCTCTCTGACCCTGAGTTCTCAGGAGAAGACAGCTGAGCTATGAAATCTACTGTGGCCTCACTCAAAATGCAGAGACTCTGCAGGGTGCAGTTTTAACAGAAAAATGTGAACATTCTAATTTGTCCTGTGCTGCAAGGAAATATTAAAAAAACAGAGGCACTTGGCTCTGTATATTTTTTCAGTTTTGTAATCAAGACCTGTGGTTTTTTAAAAAATATTTTTTAGTTATCCATTGATAACCTTTGTTTGTTTGTTTATTTATTTATTTATTTATATGTGGTGCTGAGAATCCAACCCAGTGCCTCACTCAGGCTAGGCAAGCACTCTACCACTGAGCTACAACCCCAGCCCCACCCAATCCTGTGTTTGTTTAAAAAGTCATTCTTAAAGAAAGACAGCAAGAAAAGCAGTGATGTGGATGGACAATTAGTTGTTTTCAAACATGAAGTAAACAAAGAGAAAATGAGTTTATAAAACCGAAGGGCATTGACTATTAGACTATTGCTCAGTTCTCTGCATACACTTGTTTTTATTTAGAATCTTACCATATTATTATGGGATACCAAAAAGAAAAGAGCATTTTTGAAGAAAGCACAAAACAGTCTGCAAAGATGGGAGCAGCAGCAGCCAAGACTTATTTAGTTTGATTAAATTCCTGGCTTAAAGAAGTTCCCTCTCTTTCCTCCTGCCGCTCCCTTCCCTCTCTCCCCAGGTTTCCACCTGGGTGGGCAAGGCAGCTACCACCTCATGATCAGCCTCCTTAAGAAGCCTAAGCAGTGCCCAGGGAAGAGTTGGAGACAAACTGCTCATCTCTCTTATCTATCATTCTCACTATTTGTTCACATACCAGGGTGTGACTGCTTTAGCACAAACACGAAACAGCCTCATCTGGCCTGACTGTTGGCAAGACAATGAAGGCAGCCATCCAGGATGTGAGAAGAACACCAATTTTAAGTTAGGCAAGCTGTGTCCCCATTTAACAAATATTTTTTTTTTTTGTACCGTAACATATTCTAATTACCTTGTCAACATTTAAACCGTGTACTATATCTCTTTGTTGCGTTAAAATACTTTCATGTTGGTCTTGAATAGTTTCATTCCTTAACATCTTACTCTATCACCCTATCTGGTTCCACTTTTTCTGTCTCTACTTTTCTCTTGCTTCTTCTTTGAACTGCTGTCAGAAGATGCTTAGAAATATGAGCATCTTTCCTGCTTAATGGATTTCCATTTAGTAAGTCGGCTGGCTAGGCTGTGTATGGACAGTCTTATCCAGCCTTTGATCTATTTGTGGGTATCCTTTGCATATGTATTATAGTAATCCAAGCCCAGAGTTATATCATAAATCTTATTGAAAACCTACTCTACATCCTTTGGTGATTCCCCATATTGAATAAGCTAAACACAAAACATGAAAACCTTGAAATAAATACTTAATGTATCGCCACCCATTCATCATGCCCTAAATTACTCATTTCTTCTTCCCAAATGGTGCCTCATCTTCCAACTTTGCATTCTCAATGGACCAAAGGCCAGAAGCTGGCCAACTCCTTTCCTTCCCCCTTTGCTTGAAGTCCCTTGGCCGAGAGTCACTTTCCATCATCACAAGTTGGCTCTTGCCCACTTCTTAGCTGAAAACTTCATTTCCTGCACCTCAGAGAGAATCCCCTGCATCTTTTAGTAATTGTTCTTTTTCAGGCCATTCATTCTACATGTTTTTTCTCTGCTGGCAAGAGGTCAGAAATATCTTCCCTTCCAAGAGAGTTTAAGGGTGTGTCTTGGTGTGGGTTCCCATGAAAGAAAACATGGAGACAGGATTTGAAATAAATTAATTTATTTGAGAGGTCATGTTGGGAAATAGGAGGCATAAGGAAGTGAATCTAGGAAGAAAAGTAAAATAATAAAATGTGCATGATGCATGATTCAGCCAGTTACCATTGTGGATTTAGTAGGCCAGGTCTCACTGGGAACTCTGGGCAATAGCATGAATACAATGATTATCTCACATGAGAGCAAGAAAATTGAGGTATTTATCCACCAACTTCCCATCTGCTATCACCACTCACTCCTTCCTTCCAATTTTCCCTTTTGTTGTACTGAGTGTGCTCTCACAATCCCAATGAATCCTTAGGCAGAGAGTCATAGGTGTGACCAGCAAGAGCCAAGTGTGTGCAGGTAAAAGCCAAGCCCACAGCATCTGAGGTAGCAGGTCTTAGGGTCTTAGGTTCACAGAAAGCTCTGTCTGCTAGACTGAAGAACTTACTTGAAGTCACTTCAGTTAAACCTGATGTTAAAAAAGTGTCTACTCTGTGCTGGGTGCAAAGTACTGGAGATGAAGAGACAGATAAAATGCTCTGGCTTTGAGCCCCTTACAACCTAGCAGGACAGAAGAATCACTAACTAATGTCAGATATGTCCTAGTGCCAAGCAACAAAACAAGTATCAAGTGCTTTTCTGGCTCCCTTCGTGGTCCTGAAAATGATATTCTACCCTTTACCCCTTGGCCTTTGGACTTGTAGAATTCTTCTCTCTCCCCCACTGGCTATGCTTCCACTCCTGCACATTCCCAGTCTCACGTGATCCAACACTGATCATCACTCAAGTATCAGTTACAAGGTGCATCTTCCAAAAAACTCTTAACCACCAAGGCTGGGTTAGAAGCTTTTCTTAGGAGCTGGGGATATAACTCAGTTGGTAGAATGCTTGCCTCACATTCACGAAGCCTTGGGTTCAATTCCCAGCACCAAAAAAAAAAAAAAAATGAAGATTTTCTTAAAAGTTTTCTTCAAGTTCTACATGTTCTCAATCATTGCACTTATCTCAGTGTATTCTAATTTCTATATTTTTCATAAAAATGTAAATAATGTGTCTATTTCCTAGACACTAGTATCTTGCCAGCCACACAGTAGGTGTTTAATAATTGTTTCATGGATGACAAATCTTTCTCGCAACACACACATACACACACTGGTGGCCAGGTAGGATTTCATTCAGTGCCACTAACTGTGTTTTATTTGCTTTTAAGCTAAACCAGAAATCCCCATGATTGTGGAAAACAGCACTATGAATGTCCTGGGAGAGGTGAGTCACTTTAAAGCCTTTGAAAATCTATAGTATTACATGCCAAGGTGTTTGGGTTGCACAGCTGCCAGGAACGTTCCCTCAGAGGACCTTACTCCTGGGCTCTTAGCCAAGTAACTGCTGATGGGCACAAAGGGAAGCTGAGCTGATTCTGCAAACTGAATGGGGATCCTTACTTTGAGTTGGGGCTCTCAGAAGGTGTGACCTCTTTTCTTTAGTCCTTAAATTTCCTGGAAAATTGTCCCAATTGTTTAAACTTCTCCTTAATAAAAACTGAGGGAGGGATGGAGATATTGCTCAGTTGGTAGAGTACTTACCTCGCATGCACAAGCCCTGGGTTCAATCCCCAGCACCACCAAAAAAGGAAAAAAAGAGAAGGGAGGGAGCAGTGTGACCCTGGTTTAAGAGTGAGAATTTCACTCAGCTGACATTTAATTTGTTGCAATCCATTTTTCTGTACCAGCTTTCCCACTGCTTTCATTTCAGTCACAAGAAGAAATGTGTCTCCTGTACCTCCTCCAAATCATAGCTACTTCTTTAGAAATAAGAAGGGCAGGAGAAAAAGGAAAGACTGGGTAGCTCCCAGTCTCCAGTCACTGGGATCTGGACCCACTTCCCAGCTATTGGTTGTATCCTTGAGCAAATTAATTCACATCTTTTAGTCAGTTTCACCATTCATATGAAGTAACTCATAATGGTATCTGCTCACTATTATTTTTTAAGAACATTATAAAATTAAAATATAAAATTAATGTGAAAAATTCTTAGTATAATGTGTGTCAGATAATAAACGTTCAGTAAAAATTGTTGTTTTCACTGTTATTAGTAATATCTGCTTTAAGTAGCTGTCTTGTGACCTTATGATTTCAACCATGCTTTTCAAATCCCCAGGTAAAATAAGTGCTCTTATTAATTCTCAAACATCTGCTGTTACATGGTGTGAGAGAAAATTCTACTGATATTCTAATTTCTTCTCATCCTGAGAACATTAAATAACATGATTTGTGGTCCTGCTGAATATCAGTCATTTAATTTGACAGCTACATACAAATCATAACTGACTCTGTAGGATGTTTTCGGATGACCATACATAATGTATTACCTAAGCATCTAAGTCTCTCGCTAATTTCATGTATTAACCTCTGAAATAACTTCTTCTGTAATCCTGAGTATAATGAAAAGGGTTTAATCATTTTCTGCTTTAATTAATTCCCAAATTTATTAGTGGACTTCATTTCAATAGTTTAAATACAGCAAATAATCTAATGATTACAGATTTTGGTAGGTATCTTTCTTACAAGGATCTGTTATAGATTCTTGGTGTCAATGTTTACAGGTAATATAAGCCCAAGATATAAAACCATAAATTGGGTCCAAGAATCCATTATAAAAAAATGACTGTGGCTTACAGGCCACAAGTTATAAAATTTCCTCTTCTATACCATTGCTTCACTTAAATCTGGGAAAACTAGAGAAATTTCTTTCCTGGGGAATTAGTGAATAATCTCTCTCCAACTCCGTATAACCAGCTGCAGGACATGGCTTGTCTGTGGCTCTTTTAAGGTCTTGCCAAACATTAGTAATTCCTCACGCTAATATTCTTATAATCACTGCTGTGTCCTTAATAACTTATTAACTCTTCAAAGCCCTTTCACATACTTTTATCTCGTGATGCTTTCCATGTGCTCTGATATAGGTAGAGCATCTATCATTTCACAGTTGAGAAATTAGGGCCTGGAAAGCCTAACATCTAGCTAAGTCATTCATAAGGGGCAGAGCTATCCACCTCTAGGGAGGCTGATAAGAGGAGATCATGTTCTGGGGTCAAATAGCACTAAGGTCAAGTCCTAATTCAATCACCTACTAGATAACCTCCATGAGCCTCAGCTTACTAATCTCTAAATTGAAATAATAAGAAATACTTCATAGGGTTCTTAGTATAATTAAACTCATGCACAGTTCTGGAGTACATGGCACATAGATGTCTCAGGGATATGTCTTTGCTTATTATCATTCACCCACACTTTCACCAATTCCTTCCTCTGCATTTGTAAATATTGATTCATAAATCCATTATGTGACTGAATGTAGATTATGGTGTGGGATGATAATAATAATAATAAAACAGAACATAGATTGTGGGATCTGGTAGAACTAAGCCTGAATTCTCTTTTATTACTTATTAACTTGGGTCCCTGAGACCTGGGTTCCTTAGCTTCCTCATCAGTGAATGGGGCAATGAGTCCAACCTCACAAGGGTGATAGAAGGATCAAACCAAAGAACGTATGCAAAGCATCTACATCTGGAGAGCAAAAGTATTCAGTATTGGTAATCTCCTAACTTTTACATTCTCTGGAAATTAATCACATCCACACGCATGAAGATGTGTAGTGTGTCCTACATCTTCATTGCTCAAGCAACATTTGTGCACAGTGGAGACTTAAAAGTATGCTGTCATCCTGCTATAAGTCAAAAGGACAAGGGGTGGAGCAGGCCCAGCGGCCTGCTGAGGGGCAGAGCCACCCCCATCCCCCGCCCCTGCCAGGTGACCACCGACAGAAAAGGCCCAGTGGCCCGCGGTGGGACAGAGCTTCCAATCACTCCTGCAAGGTAGGCGGGCCTGCGACCCACCGGCAGAAGAGGAGCAGCGGCCTGCTGAGAGGCAGAGCCGCCCCCTCCCCCTGCACCGGCAAGGTAGAGGGAACTGTGACCACGGACAGAAAAGGCCCAGCGGCCTGCTGAGGGGCAGAGCCACCCCCCACCCCCCGCGCCTGCCAGGTAGGTGGAACTGTGACCACGGACAGAAAAGGCCCAGTGGCCCGTGGCGGGACAGAGCTTCCAATCACTCCTGCAAGGTAGGCGGGCCTGCGACCCACCTGCAGAAGAGGAGCAGCGGCCTGCTGAGAGGCAGAGCCGCCCCCTCCCCCTGCACCGGCAAGGTAGAGGGAACTGTGACCACACACAGAGCAGGCCCAGGGGCCTGCTGGGGGGCAGAGCCGCCCCCCACCCCCCGCGCCTGCCAGGTAGGTGGAACTGTGACCACCATCAGAACAGGCCAGACCTGCAACCGAGAGACAGAACAGGCCCAGTGGCCTGAGGAAGGGTAGAGCCGCCCCCCCCCCGCACCTGCAAGGTAGGCGGACCTGCGACCCACTGGCAGTACAGCCCCAGAGGCCTGCAGAGGGGCAATGCCGCTGCCTGCACCTGCAAAGTAGACAGAACTGTGACCACCCACAGAACAAGCCTAGCGGCCCGCAGAGGGACAGAGCCGCCGCCCGCGCCTGCGAGGGAGACTTTGCAACTATACAAGACCAATATAAATATATAGGGGGAAAATTCAATAGCACAACAGTTTCACTAAGTAGAAAGGAACGCGAACAGTATGAAGAGACAAGGAAAGAAAGGACCAGAAGCAATGCAGGTCAACTCAACGTTAGAAGAGGTAATAGCTGCAGCAGATGGAATGTCAGATAAAGAATTCAGGATATACATGCTTCAGATGATCTGGAGTCTCAAGGAAGACATCAGACAGCAAAATCAGACAATGAAAGATCACTTCAACAATGAATTACATAAACAAATCCAAGAAGCAAAAGATCAACTACACAGGGAAATAGAGGTTATAAAAAACAAACAAACAGAAATCCTAGAAATGCAGGAAGCAATAAGCCAACTTAAAAACTCAATTGAGAATACTACCAGCAGAGTAGAACACTTAGAAGACAGAACATCAGACAATGAAGATAAAGTATTTCAACTTGAAAAGAACATAGACAGCTCAGCAAGACTGTTAAGAAACCATGAGCAGAACATCCAAGAAATATGGGATAACATCAAGAGACCAAATTTAAGAGTCATTGGGATACAGGAAGGGACAGAGTTTCAAACAAAAGGATTGAGCAATCTATTCAATGAAATAATACGAGAAAACTTCCCAGACTTGAAGAATGAGACAGAACCCCAAATCCTAGAAGCCTACAGGACGCCGAATGTGCAAAATCATAAGAGACCCACACCTAGACACATTATAATGAAGATGCCCAACATACAGAATAAGGAGAGAATTTTAAAAGCTACAAGAGAAAGGAAGCAGATCACATTTAGGGGTAAGCCAATCAGGATAACAGCTGATCTTTCAACACAGACTCTGAAAGCTAGAAGATCCTGGAATAACATATTTCAAACACTGAAAGAAAATGGGTTCCAACCAAGAATTGTGTTTCCAGCGAAATTAAGCTTCAGGATGGAAGATGAAATTAAAACCTTCCACGATAAACAAAAGTTAAAAGAATTTGCAGCTAGAAAACCATCTCTTCAAAACATCCTTGGCAAAACATTACAGGAAGAGGAAATGGAAAATAACAATGAAAACCAACAGTGGGAGGTAGGACACTAAATGGGGGAAAATAATCAAAGAGGAAAACAAACCATGTTTAGTAACATAAATAAACAAATATGGCTGGAAGAACAACCCATATCTCAATAATAACCCTAAATGTTAATGGCTTAAACTCACCAATCAAGAGACACAGGCTAGTAGAATGGGTCACAAAACAAGACCCAACAATATGCTGCCTACAGGAGACGCATTTGATAGGAAAAGACATACATAGGCTGAAGGTGAAAGGTTGGGAAAAATCATATCACTCATATGGACTTCGGAAACAAGCAGGAGTATCCATACTCATATCAAATAAAATAGATTTCAAGCCAAAGTCAATCAAAAGGGATAAAGAGGGATACTACATACTGCTCAAGGGAACCATACACCAACAAGACATAACAATCATAAATATATATGCCCCAAACAATGGTGCAGCTATGTTCATCAAACAAACTCTTCTCAAGTTCAAGAGTCTAATAGACCACCATACAATAATCATGGGAGACTTCAACACACCTCTATCACCACTGGACAGATCTTCCAAACAAAAGTTGAATAAGGAAACTATAGAACTCAATAACACAATTAATAACCTAGACTTAATTGACATATATAGAGTATACCACCCAACATCAAGCAGTTACACTTTTTTCTCAGCAGCACATGGATCCTTCTCAAAAATAGATCATATATTATGTCACAGGGAAACTCTTAGACAATACAAAGGAGTAGAGATAATACCATGCATCCTATCTGATCATAATGGAATGGAACTGAAAATCAACGATAAAAGAAGGAAGGAAAAAGAATACATCACTTGG